AAAATTCTCTCTGCCTCCCTCAAGAGGTCTCTAAGACCTTGCCCCTGCAAATTTTCCATTCTCTGGAGCTTACTCCTAATATCAGGAGCTGATTGCCATATGAAAGACATGGAAACACTTACTTCCTGATTGGGGCTGTCTGGATCAAAGGGAGTGTACCTCCGATATGCCTCTTTAAGTCTTTCTAGAAACACAGTGGGCGGCTCGTCTGCTCCCTGTGTCACTGACCTTACCTTGGCCAAATTGGTGGGGCGTCTCCCTGCCCCTTGGAGGCCCGCTACAAGCACCTGGCGATAAAGACGTAGGTGTTCCCTACCTTCAGCCGTGTTGAAATCCCAAGCAGGTCTGGTGAGGGGAAAGGCAGCCTCGATCTCGTTTGGCAGTTGGGTTGGTCTCCCGTCTGCCCCCGGGACATGCTTTCGGGCTTCCAGAATGACTCTCTGCTTTTCCTCCGTAGTTAGGAGGACCTGCAGGAGCTGTTGGCAATCATCCCACGTGGGTTGGTGGGTAAGGAGGATAGATTCTATCAGGGCTGTTAGGGCCTGCAGGTCTTGGGAAAAGGACGGGTTATGAGTTTTCCAGTTATACAGGTCTGAAGCGGAGAAGGGCCAATACTGTAACTGGTTTCCTTCCCCTCCTGCGAGTCGGAGGGGCAGGATGTGTGAGGAATCTCCTTGTCCTGTCTCTGAGTCACCCCGTGATGGGGGAGGGAGTGACCTCCGGTCCCTCTGCTTGGGCGTCGTCTGGAACAGCCGCAGCAGCCTGCGGAGGAGGGTGGTAGGGAGGGGGATTCTCACTCAGCAGATCAGCGGAACACTCTCATCAGGGGGTAAAACAGGCTTTGGTTTCACCACAACAGGATACAGGGAGACGGTCGAAGGGTCCAGGTTAGGGGCAGAGGGGAGGGGGATTCTTCGTGAAGGACTGAGAAAAGGAGTCACCCACGGTGGTGGGTCAAGGGAGAGATTTTCCCAAGTGACTATATAGGCCACTTGGTCCGGGTGTCCCATCGGTCCAGGAGAGAAGATTTTTGCTTTGATCTGTAAAATAACATCAGAATCGAATGTCCCATCGCGGGGCCAACCTAAGTTAAAGGTTGGCCATTCTGAGGAACAAAAAGTAATCCATCTATGCTTCTTGATCTCCACAAACTGGTTGTGGGCACGAGTTTTCACCTCCTTCCAATGATCTAAAGTCAAACTCAAAGGGGTAGTTAATCCTTGTCCCATTTCAAAGCTTTGGTTCAAACAACGATCAACAATGAACAACAGACTCTACTGACACACAGACAGACACGCAGCGCGAAGAGGAGAATTTCAGATACCGATGGCAGGGAGGTGCCCCTGCCCAGATTAGACCCACAAAAAACTACAGAAGGGGTCTCACTGATCCTGGAGCGTCCCCCAGGTAGGCAGGCAAAGCTCATGGACTCGTCAGTCCAGCACTTGCACTGCCCAGAAGTTCCGACGGGGCCCCACAGACGCTGCGCGAACCACGAGCAAACAGGTACACAGACAACACAGACAACAGCCAGCCGACTCACCTCCCCGCAAGGCTCGAGTTGCCCCGGTGGTCCCCTCTTGTCCAACAGATCTCGGTGGGACCTCCAAATGTAAGAGTGAAACCACTGAGGACAAGTCAGCCTTCGGGTTGCAACAGCAAGAGGTTTATTTAGTACACAGGTACCTGTGGGCACAAAGTCTCCTCAGAGGACTTGCGCGCCCCCATGCTGGGTTTTGGCACTTTTATAGAGCAGAAGCGGGGTACAGAAGCAGAAGCATGGTTATTGGCCCATTCAAACGAGTATAAAGCATGAGGAAGTTAAGTTGCTAAATTCTGGGTGGGTGACTTATGGTACAGATGTTATTTCCTGATTTCCTGGTATCGAGCCCCGGGGATTGCCAGATGCAGATGGCTTGACCACTATGTCCTGTTTTTCTGATAAGCTAGTTTCTCAATGCTTGACCTCTTGTCAGGCATTCCTATCAGGTGGCCTCATGGCGCCTAGGTTTTTTCAGTACTCACCATCTGCTCTGATTGCTACAGGCCCACACTGGCAGATAGGGAAGTGGGAAAGTTCACATCTGCAAGAACTGAAGCCAGTAAACAGGAAAGACAGGTCTGGGTCAGTGCGGTTCTCCCTCCCAAATGGTCAGCCCACGTGGCCACACACATCTCAAACCCACACAATCTGGTGCATCTGGGATGATCATAGGTCCTGTCAGTCTATCCTCCAACTCCGATCAGTAGGGACAGATTGTGGGTCACCCCTTCAGTGGAGTAGGAAAACAACGTCAAGCGCTCGTGAACCCAGTGCCTGGGAGGATGAGTCCACAGTTTCCCCACAGTCTTTGGCTGCCTCGCCTTGCCCCCAGGCACCAGGCCCAGGATCCACTAACCACCCGACCTCAGGGCAGCCCAGGGGCCCAGACGGCCACGTGGGAGGCCTGGGAGCTATCCGCGGTTGAAGGTGGAACTTGGTTTGCACTTCTCGGCTTACTGTGAGCTGGGTCTACCGGTCACCAGGCTGGGGGGGAGGGGGGCCGGCAGACCTGCTCGGACAAGCCCTGCCGAGGGAAAGAGACACCAGACCCCCGTGACCGGAGAAAGTGGGCCGAGGGGGCTCTGCGCTCTGCATCAGCCGGAGGGCTTCCAGCTAGGAAGGATAGGGTGGCGGCGCCAATGTCCCCAAACCCTTCCAGGGTCCATCGCCGCCTGCGGGCTAGGGCGCCAGCTCGGATCTCACCCCTGCCCAGGTCCCCGCGGCCCGCGCCGGGCATGCCCACTGATCTCGTCTTGGTGTCCCATCCGCGCCAGCGCGAGCAGCAGCTCCGGAGACAGCAGCGCCGGAAGGCTCTTGAGCGTGACCATGGCCGTGGAACTGGGGGTGGAGCCGGATGACCGGGCGGGGTGTGATAGACCAGGCCGCGGGTGACCCTCCGGAAGCCAGGACACTGCCCTGGACTCTGAGTTGACATTCAAGGCTCAGAGGCCTGGCAGGTGGTGGCAAAGTTCAGAAAGGTAGGCCTCAACTCTCTTTTTACCCTAGTTTGTGGCTGACACAGCGAAGTGCCTTGACAGGTGAGCACCCCACTATGCACACACACAATTAATGGGTTGTGGGTGGGGAGCTTATGGGGCAGCTCCAGCCTAAGAAGTATGGCAGGTGACAGAATCAGTATCCACCTTTTGAGATGAAGAATTTTCATCCACACTTTAATGGATCTGAAACTTCTGTGAGTCTTGGGAGCAACTGACCCAGGGTAGCAGTTATTCCTTCTTCATTTGAGACCCTCTAGGCCCTAGGAGTGAGGGACAACATCCAGGCCCCAGGACTTGTGTCCATTCTCCCACCTATACCTACTTGAGAATCGAGACTGAAACAGTGGCTTAGTGTTGTGAGAATAAATGACAGATACTTGTGGAGAGTGGTTTCCTGCAAATAGGATCATTAGGTCTTCCTGTTTCCCCTCAACCCTTCTTAGGTGCCTGGCACTGTACAGCCCTCCAGGACCATAGCCAGTCCTTTTGAAGTCTGAAGCCACTAGAAGAACCCTGGTGAGTACACGTCCCTCTGGGTGGCAGTTGGGAGCTGTTAGTATAAGCACAGCCGTTATGTACATTGAGCTGTGGCAGGCTTGCTTGTTTACTTTGTTCTTTCACCTTAACTCAAGAGTTTGTATGTTTTGCACACCAGTACCTAATTATTCTGCCAAGTCAGGAGGAATGTGTTAATTTAGGGAAGATGGTTAAATGATGGAATTCACAAGTATTTGACCGTTCCTTGACCCTCAGATAAAGGTGGGAAAAAAACAGCTGTTGAAGCTAATTGAGCTAAGCAAACGGTGGCTATCTGATGTTCTACTATATAAAAAGGCTGAGCTAAAATAAACTGGGGCTGCAGTCTCTACTGACAGTCCTCAAGTATCTTTTCTCTGTCTTGTTTTTTCTTTCAATCCTCACTCCCCCTTTCAGGTGCTGTTCATCTAACGTTGGCTGGCACCGGCAGTGGCTCTCCTGTACTTCTACATTCTACATCTCCAAACCTCACACGGCAAATAGTACTGAGTGTGCACAGAGTGCGTGATTTTGTGAAGCACTTTCCACCCTGCTTCTCTGTCTCACCAATGCCAATACTGTAGGCGCTGACTCAAAGGCCTCCCTGGGTCAGGTCCAGCACTGAGAATGTGCATTTTATGCAAATGCCTTGAGGTTCAGATGGAAGCAGCTCCCATATTGACTTCAGAGACCTCCAGTCTCACACTGATAGGTGTTGAGGATGCTACAGAAGAGCCCCACTGCCCTCCTACCAGAGTAGGTGGACTGTCACTTTCACTCACCGAAGCCCTGTGTACAGAGGATCTTGGGATCCTAGCCATTCTCCAACAAAATACTAGAGTTAGCGCAGAAGGGTCACTGTTGTGCCATCCATGGCAGTCCTGATAGTGAGAACCTGGGTACTTTCAACGTGCATCACTTGGTGTGGTGGAATACAAATGTAGTCACAGGTACCTGGGAGGTTACAGCAGGACTGCTTGAATCCAGAAGCACAAGACAGACTGGGGACCTTATCAAGATCATTTCAAAAATAAATATCCATTATTATGTTAATGTGTGTATAAAATATATGCCCTCAGCATAAAATACTAGACTTAAAAAAATGTAAATATTGTCAGGCATGATGGTGCATGCCTTTAATCCCAGCACTCGGGAGGGAGAGGCAGGCAGATCTGTGAAATCGAGGCCACCCTGTTCTACATAGTGAGTTCCAGGCCAGCTGTGGGTAGATCAGCCTTGCTTGATCTCACAGAGATGTGCCTACCTTTGTTTCCCAAATGCTGGGATTAAAGGTGTGCCACCATGTCCGCTCCCTTGGGTCTCTTATAAAGGGTCTACAGCCACTCATGAGCCCACATCTACCTTTTAGTACTTTTTTTAGGTGAAGACTAAAAAAACAAAAAAAATTTATGTGTATTGTCTGCATGTAAGTGTACCCATATCATGCGATGCCTGTGGAGGTCAGAAGAGGGTAGCAGATCCTCTGGAACGGGAGTTAGGAATGGTTGTTAGCTGCCATGTGGTGCTGGGAATCAAACCCAGGTCTTCTGCCAGTGCTCTTAACCACTGAGCCATCCCTCCAGCCCCAGTTAAGATTTTTTTTTTTAAAAAGATTTATCATGCCTATGTGTACTGTATGAGTTTATGTGTGCCATGTATGTGCAAGTGCTCATGGAGGTCAGAGGGCATCAGATTCCCTGGAACTGGAATTACAGGTGACTGTGACCTGCCTGATATGGGTGCTGGCAACTGAGTCTGGGTCCTTTACAAGCACGAGTGTTCTTAACTGCTGAGCCACCTCTCTAGCCCCAATCTTTTAGTATCTTAAGACCACCACTTTGGGGATTAGGACTTCACCATAGTAACTTTTGGGGTGGGGGTCACATATTTATTACATTGTACTAAATGAAATAACACAAACACAAAAGGACAAACACTCTAATTATGCTCAGATACCTGGAGTTAGCATATTGAGACAGAAAGCAGAATGGGTGGTGCCAGGGGCTGGAGAGTGGGGTAGAGAATCAGTGTTTAAAAGGGACAGTTTCAACCTGGCAGGGGTGGCTACATACCAATGTGAAAGTGCTTGATGCTATATTTAGATGTGGTTAAGAAGGTGAAATTTACATTGTGTGCATGTGGGATTAAGAGGAATGCTACTGAAAAGGAGATAAGCACCATCTACATGGCACAAGTACATAGAAAACCAGAATTCAGTGTTGTGCGGAAAATCTGCAGAAGTGTGCATGGAGCCCGTGGGAAACCAAGTTCCACAGTCGAACGTGTGTGCATCCAAGTACAGAGGATCTTGGGGAGGCTTGAAGTTGCTCACAGTGTTTATTTACTCTGGGAGATGTGGTATGAGGATGACTTACTTTATGTTTAAGAGTTTGCATAAATAGGGGCTGAAGAGATGGCACAGTGGTTAAGAGCACTGACTGCTCTTGCAGAGGACCTGGGGTCAATTCCAAGCACCCACATGGCGGCTTCGAACCGTCCTTAACTCCAGTTCCAGGGGAATCCAAAGCCCTCTTCTGACCTCCATGGCATTGCATGACACGGTATACTCACATACATATAGGCAATACACTCATACACATTAAACAAAAAATGAGTTTGCATAAATATTATCACTTAAATGAAAAAAAAAAATGAGCTGGGTGTGGTGATCCAGGGCTGTAATTCTAGCACCTGGCAGGGCCAGGCAGGAGGATTGTGAATTTATAGCCAACCTTCAACATACAGCAAGTTCTTGTCTCAAAACAAAATACACATATACATAAACAAAAAACAACAAAAACCTCCTAATTCATAGTTCTTTCGCCCTCTAGAGACTACAGGTGAGCCACAACTAATCTAAGTAGTCACTTTAATCAAATGATCATGTTCAGAATCAACAGACAAGATTGTTTCCCTTTTGCAGCCACATCCACAGCTGTTCATGGTGGGTAACACAGAAGTGCAGCTGACCCAAATATACACTTGTCCCTAAAGTAAAAAATCAAGACAGCCCAAAGGTTCCTCATATTTCTGATTTAGAAGAATGTGCTCTGGTCAGAACACAGCACTTGCTCAACTCCCAACAGCTGGTAAAGGCAGAAGGTCACATGATGAGCACCTGCCCGTTGTGGACACAGTCCCATGGCCATCTGTGAGAAACTGTGGCCTACATTACCCTTTAGAATGATTTATTTGCCTCTCAATTGATGACAGGCTGAGCGTTCCTTTCTAGAGAGACACAAGGCCCAAGCTGCTAGCTCTCAGTGGTCTCTGAAGTTGGCCTTTCTCTTCTCCACAAATGCAGTCATACCTTCTCTCCGATCATCCTGGCAGGAAAAGGAAGAAAAGAAGTGAAACCTCCATGGACCTGCTGAGAGACCCTCAGCTGACTGCCTGCATCTCTGAGACACTCTCGTGCCCTCCTTGCCTGCTCGCCAGGCTCATGGGCAGGAGGCCGATTCTGCAATGGGCCCACTTGTAGCCTATGACAGATGAGATTTCTGACAGTGTTAAGCCTTGGGGCAGGGACTTGTGTATTATCAGACACAGGCACTTAGGGACCATCATGCATTTTCAAACTCATGCTTACAGCACCTCTGTTCTGACAGAGTCTGATTTGGGAATCTCCTACAGGGATGTTGGGTAGGAATAACTCTGCCTTCCACCTGCCCTTCTTTAGCCAGTGTGCATACTATGTATACAAATGCATACAACTTCACTTCATCTTTAGGGGCCAAACTATTTAATCATTGCTCAGTGCATCAGATAATAGTATTATAATACATTTGAGCCATATTCAAATAAGTGGAATGATTTAGAGAAAATATGGGTGAAACAAATTACTATTACTGATTTATTTAGAGATGGTCTCTCTGTGTTGCAAAGACTGGTCTCAAAAAATCTTCCTGCCCCCAGGTCCTTTACAAGCACAAGTGTTCTTAACTGCTGAGCCAATGCTGGGATTATTGTGCCCAGCTATTAATTCCACTTTAAATAAAGGAAATGCTGCTTAATGCTATAATTCAATACAGAGCCTTTTTGTAATAGGAAGTTCCTAGCAGCTTCTGTAACAGGAACATGTTTGAATAAGCAGAATAGTTTTTACTCACAGTGGCAAAGGTTGAATAGAACAGTTTCTTTTCCAGCTTGTTTCCTTCTGTTAATGTCATTTCAAAGGCTGAAAAAGAAACCCTGAGGTCACAAACTGAGGAGCTGAATATGGGAATACAGGGGATCCTGTGTAGTGCCCATGTTGAACTGTGACTACTACCTACAGGAAGGCCCAGCTCTGCATGGCTATGCTGGCACAGCTCTCCCACCTTTTCAAGCGCACAGCCCCTGCTAGGTAGCCATGTGAACAAACTTCTCTCCTAGGCTTCCCAAACACCCTTGGAGGTGGCCCAGGACCTCCAGAGAGGAAAAGCACCAGAATTTAGCAAAAGGAAAACAATAATCTGTCCAGCTATGAGGACCTGAGGTGGCTGAAAAAACTGAATATAGAAAAATAATGGATGAAAACCAGAAGAGAATGTCTAGGCAGCAGGAACAGCACCTGCTCTGGGCCTTCCTTTCCAGTGGAGAACACTGTCCAATGAAACACTACTGTGGAGGGAGGAGGACCTGAGCTGTGGCCATGCCTGTGACTGTGATCTTGCCAGAATCCTTGCTGCTCCCTGTGGTCGGTACCACATAGCTGGTTTCCCAAACATCAACATTATATGACCATGGCCAGCAACAACCCTGCAAAGATGGTATCCCATTTGGAGGTGGTAACAGCCTTTCTGGATCACACTTTCAGTCCCAAGCTTACTCTTTACAGATAACATAAACAGAAGCACAGTGCTGTTCTGAATGCTGAGATAAGCATTAAAACTCTACCCCACACTCATGTAACAAGCTAGCATCCCATTCCCACAAATCCTTATAACTCCAGCTCTGAGGGATCTGACGCCCTCTTCTGGCTTCCACATGCATAAAAGCATGTGCACCCAACCAAACATACACATGTGTACACATTTACAGACACATAAAATATTTTTTTAAAAAGGGCTCCAAGCTGGGTGGTACATGCTTGCAATCCTAGCACTCAAGAACAAAAGTTGTAGTTCAGAGGACAAGTCATATCAGCTTCACCAGCAAATAGAAAATGGTATTTCATGAGAGCTATGCTAATGCAGACCCCAGGCTACAGGCCATCTGTGTAACCAGAGCTGAGGAGTGGAACTCTTCAATCCAGGTCCTAGGAGACAGGGCTTTCCCTGGGCTATGGCTCCATTCTTTTCTCTCTATCCCTGCACTACCCTGTCATCACGTACCAGGCTTGACATAGTCTTGGGCCCTGGTGTGAAGGGCATCTTGACTGATCATTGAGTGACTAGACCTGGAAGTCTGAGACAGCTGCAATCTTTAGAGCCCTCTCATTGCTGCCTGGGACAGGGTGAGGTGGTGGAACCATTTGGAACTTCACAACTGCATTTGCCCAGTCCTGCAGGCCTTCCCACTTTCTCTTCCCAGCAGCTCCTACCTGCATTCACAGATTCTTTGGCCATGGCTACTATAATTTTGGAATTGCTGGCAATTTTTTCTGCACACTGGATGGCCTCTTCGACCAGTTTCTCAATGGGAAAAATCTTGCTTACCAGTCCTAAAACATGGAAAAGTATGAATTACATGCAGAAATAGCACCAGCACATTTCTCCCGGAACCCAGTGATACCAGCCCAGTCTTCTGAGTGCTAAATAAGGGATGGTTGTTCCCAGGGGTGATTGGCTCTGTGCCCTCCAGAGCTCTAGTCACTGAATTCTAAGTTACATAGGTTAGGCTGTTCATAGCATCAAATGAACCAGATAGGAGGACTAGGGACCATGGTCACTGACAGGGAAAGAGAAAGTCTTTAAGGGCCTTTGAAAGGATGCTGCATTACTGTTCTCCAACCTGAACACATGCTGCCACTCTCCTTAAATATTTCAACATATAAAACACAAAGCCAGGACCTTGGGGCTGGATCCCTGGGGACACCTGACACAACCCTCCAGCTCCTAATATCAGTTATCCCACCTGCTTGTTTAGCATCCTGGGCTGAAATGCGGTCACCTGTGAGGACCATCTCCATTGCCAGTGACTTGCCAACTGCACGGGTAAGTCTCTGGGTGCCCCCCGCACCTGTAGGAAGAGAGTTGTGATCTCAGCTGCTCTGTGTCAGGTGACAATGAAAAGAAACCCAGGGCTACTGAGTGACAGAACATGTGCCTGGCATGCATGAGGCCCTGGACTCCATTTCAGCATCAAAAAGAAAGAAAAACCACAGACCCACAGTCATGTTGTTAGCAAGTTCATAGGGGGCCTAAGAGAGGGGCCCAGTGGGTGAGTGGACAGAACCAAGGTGGTCAGGTGGACAAAAGAAACTTCAGAAGCAGGTCCCTCTCCAAAGTTAGCTCCCCTCCACCATCCTGAGAGTCCAGGTCTCCCTGCCAGCACATGCTGGATTCAATCCCAGCATCAGCTGCCCTCTCTAGGGCAGATCCGAACAGATCTGTACTGAATTTGCTGTTCAGGATCTCAGAACTGGCCTGGCTAAACCCAGAGAGCAGAGTATGGCCTGCTCCTACATGGGCTGAGTCCCTTCTCTTTGGGTGCTTACCTCCACCTTCCATTAGAGCTTCGTGGTCAATGGTACTTCTTTCTACCCAATATCCCAGGCTTTCCTAGGCAGCAGGGAGTTAAAGTTTCTGATTCTATGCTTCACTGAACTCAGGGAAGCCACCTGACCTCTTATGACTAGTGAAATGGGAGTAGATGGGGCCAGAGTAACATGGGGTAGAACTTTTGGCACTAGCCCAAGGTCACTGTTTTCTCATCCAAGCTTCTGACCTACAAGGTTCTGATATGGGTATGGATCACGATCAGGAAAGGACCACTGTGGCTATAAGCCTGTGTAACTGCTGTGTGACATCACCAGATGAGGGATCTGTGTATTCATATGAGGTGGACAGTCTGGGGCTTGAGGGATATGATGAGCGCCATATGTTTTGTCCTCTAGTGCTGGTCTGCAGAAGGAGAATTAACAGACAAGAATTGTCCATCTGGGCCTCTGGTTGATTGCAAGCTGTGGGTCTGAGATGCAGGCTGGTTCTGCTAGAGCTGGGAGACTCTCACCTGGGATGGTACCTAGTAGAATTTCTGGCTGTCCGAACTGGGCTTTCTCACCAGCATAGATGATATCACACATCATGGCAAGCTCACAGCCCCCACCAAGCTGCAAAACAATGTTCAGAAGCAGGTGGGTTTTACCAGGGGAGCCCAGGCAGAAAATGGCTGTATTTGCTTACTGAACTTTTCCAACAAAGTAAAAGAGTCATGTGACATTAAAGGTTAATCAGGTAGAACAAAAAATGCATTTAAGTGTTAGGATAAATCAAAAGGGTTGACATTGCTTATCAGGGACTTGTAGACATTTTTGCAAAGGGCTAGACAGTAAACAATCTTGGCTCTGCAGTGAATGCTAAGCCTGGCAAGTGGTTCAAAATCAGACAGAGGGCAAGGGCATGAATGGGTATGGATGACCCCCCAGACATGGACTTTGTTAAATAATTAACACATTGAATAATCATATGGCTTCTCCATGGGCTAAACTAAGCATGCATTTCCCAAAAGGATAGTGGCAAATGGATCCTAAAGTGCTAGTAGAAGACTCACAGCTTTCACACATGTAGTATAGTCACAGTGGCAATTAAATACACACTGAAATACAATTAAATACTTTAGTGTATTTGAGAACTAACTGAAGAGCATCCATCAAACAAAGTAGCTGCCAAAAAGACACTGTGGGCCTGGGGACCACACAAGGACTTTTAAAGATACAGATCTTTGATATATTACAAAAGCATAATTCCTTCCACTCTGCACAGGATCTCTGGGGCTGACACTCACAGCATAACCATTGACAGCTGCAATGATGGGTTTCTTGATCCGGGTGAGGTGGTCCCAGTGGTTCAGGAACTTGCTAGAGTAACATTCCTGGAATGATTGGTTCTGCATTTCCTTGATGTCAGCTCCAGCTAGGGGTAGAAGTGAGATTCCAGTAACCAGACAGCAGAGAGCTCATCAGTACTGCACCCCCATGCACAGGCCCTAGGGGTAGTGGGAACAGCTGACATGTGGTACAGCAATGCACCAAACTGCCTGCTGTGAGGAGGTATACAGAGGGGCTGTGGCAGGCAATGGATGCCTGGTAGACTTGGAGGAGGCTGGGCTTATGTCAGTCACTTCACCTGACCAGTAAGGACCTGAACATACCTGAATGTTCAACACATAGTTGCTCTTCCACATAGCTCACTTTACATATGAGTAGATCCTAAGTCACTCATCATCATAGAGAGGCTGAACTATGTCCTTCCCACAGGCCATGGGCCCTCCCAAACATACCACCATAGCTGCCCAACACACCTGCAAATGCCTTCTCTCCACCAGTGAGCACAATGGCCCCAACAGCAGGATCCTCCTCAAAGGCTTCCAGTGCCTGGTTGAGCTCCTCAATCAGGCCATTACAAAGTGCATTCAGTGCTTTGGGGCGGTTCAACTGGATCAGCCCCACACTGTTATTCTTTCCTTTCTTTTCTGTGATTATGTACTGAAAATTAGCCCCTACATCAAGAGAACAAAAGGGGATTGCCATCACGTAGGTGTCAAAGGCACAGATGGAACTCTGCACCATCCTCATGGCTTCAGCCTGTAGCTCCTGCTATGACAACTCTGCTTTCATGTTTGCTCCAGTGTGTAGGTTAAAGGAAACTCTAGCACAGAACACCCTCCTCTCACATACCAGCCCTTTCCAGACAATGACACCAGGTGAGAGCAGGACAGAGCCATGGTGAGACAGAGGCAGATACAACAGATCACTTTGTTCTAGGGTGACCACCATAACCTGGAGGGGCAGGCAGCTTAGACTTGGAGGGGACAGTCCCTGGATTCAGGAGGAAGATGAGCCTGAAAAGGTGAGGGTTTGGGTACTGCCAGTTTAGGCCCTTAGCACAGTGCTTGTCTTGTGGGTTTGGGATGAGTAACTGAAGTGTCACATGTAGTGTTGAACATCAGCATGCCTGCCACCCACTAAAGCCAGAACATGATTGCCAAGTGAAGGTTTGCATGGCCAAGAGTTCATGGTGACACTGGAATGCTGGTGGCTGCAGGAGAATCCAGTCAGAAGGGAGGGAATAGTTCAGCTGGCTAGGGAGGAAAGTGGATGTGTCAGCAGGGGCAGCACTAACTGGATGGTCTGAAAGACGGGCTCTTGGAGAGGCAGTGGCCACAGCAGGAGCTGGGCAGGAGGCACTGTACACAAATGTTTCCAATTTTCAGGCTGACTTGCTCAACATAACTACACATTCTCTTAAGGTTATATAAACACACATGGACTTTCATAACCAACATCCAAGCGTCCACCTGGTCAGAGGTCTTGGCACATACTCAGGTTCTGAGGTTGAGAAGCTGCCAGTTACACACAGGGCCTTTGCATCAGAGTCTCCAGATAGCAGTGTCAGGTGGGGGTTGGTGGGTGAGGCTAAGGGTCAGACTGAGTGGAGTCAAGAATCGCATGTGTGTGTATGGAATGGGGAGTGGGCCCAAGGTAGCAGCCTAGGATCAAGTAGAAGATTGAGGGCACCCGTGAGGTGCAACGGAGCCCGGTGCAGAGGGAGGAGCACGGTGGGAAGGGCTTAAGCCTAAGAGTCTGGCTAGAGTCCGGCTGGAGTCAGCGGTCAAGTGTACGATTCTGGGGTTAGGTGCGGGGCTACAGCCCCAGACTCAGGGTCTGGGTGCTCCAAAGACAAGTGTAGGGCGTGCAGCCTTTGGGTCCGACGAGAGATCTGGGATCAGGATGAGAGATCCACGATTAAGCGAGGGTGCGCAGTGGCTGAGATTCTGGGGTCGGCGGAGGCTGCAGGTGGTGACTCCCACCCCGTGTGGATGACAGGCCGGGCCCGCGCTCGCACTCACCAGAGGCGAAGCGCCGCAGCTCTGGGCAGCGGACCGGGGACAGCAGTAGGCCGCAGGCACGGGGTAGCAGAGCTCGTAGGGCCGCCATGGCGTAGAGGACTAGCCCCGCCCACAGAATCGCCCTGCCCCTGACCCCAGAGGCAAAACCAAGACGGAAGCGGAAGGGGCGGGGCCAGGGCACCGGCGGGGAAGGGCTGACCGCTTGGTGGTCCGGTGTGGCTGGTTTCTGTTCCGGCGTAGGCGGAAGCTTGCGCTAGTTGGTGCAGCGGCACCGGAGCGCCGGGCTGAGCCCTTTCTCCCGCGCTGGCAGGATGTCGTGCGCGAGTGGAGGCTCGATGGCTGACGTCGTTGTAGCGTGTGGAGTTGGAGGCGGTCTTTACGTGTAGCGTGCGAGCACCCAGATAGGGATAGCTGTGTTTTTACAAAGATAAAGTTTACCTAAATTTTAAAGAAAGCCGAGTTTTATTCAGTTAAATTATTTGAATTATGACGTTAAAGTGTTCATCACGTATTACCAAGCCTTTATTTTGTATTTTTTTTTTAATTTTTAAAAACTTACTATTTTTATTTTATCTGTATGCGTGTATTGCCTGTATGTAGGTAAGTGTACCCGTGTCGTGCAACGCCCGAGGAGGACAGAAGAGGCCGTCAGATCCCCTGGAACTGAAGTTAGGGACAGTTAGCCGCCATGGGGGTGCTGGGATTCGAACCGGGATGTTCTGCAAGAACAGCCAGTGTTCGTAACCGCTGAGCCATCTCGCCAGTCCCCTTTATTTTGTATTCTTGCCCAGATTCTGCAAATACTAGGATGGAAAGAAAGGACATGGCCTACAGACAAAAGCAAAACTGTTACTTTCGGACATCTTATTTTATACACTATTTTTATTTTATGTGTATGAGTGTATTACCTGCACGTAGCTATTCCCGTGTTGTTGTCGTGTGGGTGCTCTGATCCCAATCCGTGTCCTCTCTCCACCCCCAAAACTGTTACTTTTAAAACAATTCAAACCAGAATTGAACAATTAGCAAATTTTATTTCAAGACTGAGGTAGGGGCTGGAGAGATGGCTCAGTGGTTAAGAGCACTGGATGCTCTCCCAGAGGAACGGTTGGGATCCCAGCACCCACATGGCGGCTAACAACCAAGTGTAATGTAACTCCAGTTCCAGGGGATCCGACTCCCTCTTCTGGCCTCCATGGGTATTGCACCGGAGCACTTAGAGCAGGCAAAACACGCTAAAAAATAAAAGACTGAGGTAGAATATAAACAGAAAAAGATCAACAAATCTTTGCTGAGGGGTGGTGTATTAGTACAGGCCAAGCTGTGACAATAGCTAGGAAATGAAACACTGATTTTTTTTTTCCTTTTTTTTCTAGCAACCCAGGGCTGGTGTTGAGGTCAGGTGGCTGCTGTCCTCTGAGTTTAGGGACAGAAGCAGAAGCTACAAAAGAGAGTATCAATTGGACTTCTCCAAAATTAAAAACTTCTGTTTCAAAAGAGATTATCA